CCCCAAAACCCCAAAACCCCAAAACCCCAAAACCCCAAAACCCCAAATCGACTGAGTAATAGCATAAATTATTTAATTTTCTAAAATCCTCAGATTTGACAAAATGGAGTACTATTCCATAAGTAAGTGAAGATATCCAACCTGGGTCTGGCTTAAGGAGTTTTCTCGAGAGACCTAGAAAGATGAGCTTGGCTGAGCATTTAAGCATTTCTGAATAAAGATGTACCCCAATTTCTCTTCAGATCCAGATACATTTACAAAAATGCGAACATTATATAATTTACCCAGGTTACCTCCAAACTCGGATTAATGGCTAATTTTTGTGAGATTAAGACATATTTGTGCCACTTCTGAATATTTTCACAGATTTCACTTGAGAACAAAATTTCTGATAAATTCTTGACTCTAATTTTTCACCATGATTATTTAAAATATGAAGGTGTTTCACTGGAAATATCATTTCGGTTAAGAGTCCATGCTTATTCTTGATATAGAGAGAAAGAGAAGACTTAGTAGAGAGCGCTCGCTCAGTAGCGACTCAAATTCAACAACGAATTCTAAAATTGATGACTCAATGGGAGTTCCTGAGTCAGACAGGCCAAATCCCTTCAAAAAATTTAGGGACAGAGAACTTGGTTTTCGCCCTTTCCTGAAGAGTAAGAAGCGTCTTAAAGGTAAGTTTCAGAAGACTTCTTCTATTTCTCAAATCTGTGCATATCTATTATATAGTACTTGATACCAGAGATGTTATGATCAGAATTCCACAGAGAACTAGACTGACAAAGTCGAAATTTTTCATGAAGCTTCAAAAGGACAACGCAAATATACAAAAGCTCAAGCAGATTGCTAGGGAGGAGATTGCTAAATACCAAAGAGAAGCTTCTTTTCTGAGATATACCAAATAACATATATTCTTACTTAACAACTGTTTTGTTTAAATTCATGCCTAAAATCCATTTTCTCGGCCATTATTTCAACTTTTTCTGAACGTAGAGGGGTTTTGGGGTTTTGGGGTTTTGGGGTTTTGGGGTTTTGGGG